AAGAAGAAAGCATAAAGTAGAAGGATATAATGTTAATACTAATTTTCACGGCCTCTCTAGCGCTGTGTCGGCCAGATAAGCATCACTCCGGTAATACATTCAGTTCTTCCTAATAATGTATTGGATCTGAAAGGGACAAAGATTGAACTACTGACAGCGTCATTAAATAATCAGTACAGAGATACATGAAAGAAGAGGACCTATAGTAAGCTTACATAACACCTTAACCCACTATTCTATAACTTTAGTAAAGATAAAATTAAAAATCAGCTCAGTCATCCACACCCTAACTGCCCAGAGACACCCAAAACTTAGTCACAGCTTTTGTTTTAACATCTCTCGCAGCCAAATTTAATGGGTGCCCGTCTAACGTGCGTGTCGCTAGTTGCAGGACCGACTCACCAACCTTGAACGAAGCCATGGCGCACATCGCTCGGCTGATGTTCACTCTCCTGATTAGTTACGGTCTGGTCAGCTAGGTGGCTGTCTGTGCTATTTGTACCTTCTCTCCCCACTTTACCCTTTAATGACCTCATGAAATTATCGGGAGGTAACTGGATGATTGCGTCACCAACAGGAAACGTCCGTCACACAGAGGCAAGGTTGCGTACTACAACCTGGGGGCCGTGTCTCACAGAAAATGGCCATTTCCTGTCTACTTTATAATTAAACTTTATACATAGTGAATAGATGTTCTTTAAACAGATAAGGCCATTGTATGATAAAACAAATATGATTAAGGAACTGATATAAGGAGCAAATTTTATGGGCATTCATTCCCACGTATTCATGGGATCCCAGAGGTAGGCTACAGCATGAATATTTGTCTGGAGACTTCAAAGCGTGAGTAGGAAGGAGACGGTGTTTTCAAGATTACCTTACGGGATATGACAACGAACAGTCTGGTAGTTCGTTACCGACGTCTCGGAGAAAGGTGCTGTTTCAATTTTTTCCCCTAAAAGTCTGCAACGATCTGCCAAGAGACCTCAGAAGACAGTAATATCGATACTCAATGCCGTGATAATCTCAAATTTCGGAAGATATGTTCAAACTTACATCTGAGGATTAGAGGGTACATGGAATGAGACATGAAATGGGGGTCGCATCAGTAGGTCTTCTATTGTAAGTTACTGCTGGGCTTAAATAATTAAGCACCACGCTATGAAGATACATGGAGGAGTGGAGGTATGTCTCCACCATTCTTGACCTCGGTGCTGTAAATTTCCACTGTGTTTCAAGAGTGCAATATTCATAAATATACCTCGGCTTCAGTCGCTGGATGGAAATGTATGGATTGGAATCATCTAGCTCAGGAGAGAAAAGAGGGACCGGCTGTTGTGAATACGATAATGAACGCTATGATCCCAAAGCAGCCGGGGAAATTGCCATATTACAACACGGAGTAACAAGCTGTAGAGTGTTGCAAGTAGACATTCTGTCACCGTCAACACAATTAATAAAAAAGATATTGGCAAAGTTTTAACGTTTAGTTTTATTATGTATTCTCCACTACATGTTTCGAACATAACACATCATCATCATCACGTGGTAATTCATAAATATAAATGGTGCTTCGTAAATGAACTGTCTAGTTAAAATGCATCAATTTTTTTTAACCATTCGGTTGTGTCATTAATAAAATCCTAAATTTGGGGCTGGTCGCGAATGGATACATAAATTAGTGTGGGATTTTGAAATACAATAAATAAATGAACAGTATAAAAGGTAAAGCTGTCCCTGTACTTAATTAATTAATTAATAAGTACGCCATTGGAGGTATAGCTCCATCATTCTTGAACTCGGTACTAGGTGGAGGTGCGTGATCAGCTCCACGCCCCGACCGCTTAATCCTCAAATAAGAGTCCCCGATACCTTTAGGATAGGAGGCTGGGTGGACTCCAGAGTCGGTCTGGAAGCGGTAGAGAGAAAAATCTCTTCCCACGGCCGGGAATTGAACTCCCGCCGTCCATATGATAGGACGTCGCTATACCAACTAAGATGTTACCGAGCAAGGACGTACATTATGATGCACACGTCAGTTCCGTTACACACAACAGAATGCAAATCTGTTTCGACTGCGACAGTTGGCCTGCCCGATGTTCTTGGTCTCATTACGTTCAATGCGGCGGAAGGCTGAAGAACGCATTTCCGGTAGCGGCGACTCCGCCCTTGGCACAGATAGACAGCCTTGCGCTGCAGCAAGAAGGTAGATACGTGACGGCAAACAGGTAACTGAGTTGACACCTCCACGCAGTGGTAACTATATGTACCATCTGCTTTAACGTTTTGTTCACACAATGTATTGATGTCGAACCGTCCGTTTCTGCTGCCACAGTTTGCCTGCAAGGATGCGCTCGGAGTCAACACGAGTTGAGGCGAGGCAGTTTTAAGGACCTCTGTTTCACGTATGGCGCAGTTTCGGGTATGCCTGCCGCTACGGCGGGTCACTGCATTTATACTCCTCAGATCACCGCTCTGCACCGGCCCCCCCTCCCTGACTGCAGCATCATCGAAACGACTGAATTGAATTTTGTGGTCACTTCACTCTGAGGTCTGGTGCCTTCAGATTGTATCTTTGGAAAGGGGCCAGCTGCCATTCTTCTCCTCGCAAGCCCGCCATCCCGCCCTCGGGGGCTATGCCCCACAAACTGGGCTCCGCAAATCAGCGAGGCTAGCCAGAAAAGTTAGCAATAAATAGGCTAAAGATAGAAATAAAGCGATGAGTAACATAGTCACTATGTACGCGGTAGCGTAGTTGGTTGAGGCACTGTGCTACAAGCCGGAAGGTCGCGGGTTCGATTGAGGTCATTGGATTTTTTTCAATTGACCTAATCCTTCCAGCAGCTCTATGGCCCTGGAGTCGACTCAGACTCTAAGAGAAAAGAATATCAGGATCCTTCCTGCGGGTAAAGGGCGGCCGGGGCATAAGGCCGACAGTCTCACCTCCATCTGTGAGCCGATTATCTAGAAAATGTGGGAACCTCAACATCTCACAACCTTATGGGCCTCCACGGCCTGTTACAGGGATAGATCTTCCCTTTTACGTCTAAGTGCATCAGTAAACAAGTAACTGCACAACACAAGGGAATATGGGGACAGCGTACTGCGTGACATAGAGCACATCAGCAGGGCAGCCTCCTACTTCCTATTCGGGACGTCCTAGGTTCAAATACGGAGACCAGCTCTCCTGACCAACATTTCTCGTTGTCTTCATCAGTGTACCCAGATAAGTTCCGGTGCGGTGCCTGAAGGTTCTCCACGACCACTTCCTCCTACATCATTTCAAATTCATTGTTCACTACCCTCATACCATTGCACACAACAGCCTGAGCAGCTGACAGCATCGTTAAATAAACTGACAGCATGTAACTGGAAAAGAACTGTCCTGTGGTGTACCCCGGCAGAATCTCACCAACGTACTGCCTCCATCTTCAGGGTCGAAGGGTAAGTGAAGCAAGTAGGGTGAACTGAGCGTGGTTTGTGATAGCTTCTTGCTAGACTCAGTGCTCGACTCTGAAGATGGCGACAGTCAGTGAACTTTCACCAGACTATACGGTGTCACATTCCAGTGTTTTCGTAGACTGACCTTTGCCATGACACAGAGCTTATGACTAACTTTTTCGTACATGACCCAAAGATTCAACATCGATGAAAGAAAAACCTGTCACTGGACACGAATCTGAGCCAGTTCCATCCACTCCCACCCTCACAACACATTTCCCTAAGATCCATCTTACTAATTGACTAGTTCTCTGGCAGCAGAACCCGAAGGTTCAACACCGCTATTGGACACAATCCTAAGCCATTTCAATTCGCTTAAAACCTTCACACTACATTTCTCTCAGATCTATTTTAATATTATCCTTCCATTCTCTTTTGTCTTCGGAGTAGTCGCTTTCGAATAATGTCCCTACACAATTCTGCATGAATTTACCGTTTCCTTCATCGTCACCGAATGACAACTTCACACCCGCCTACACTTCTACGGCTCAGAAAACACTACACGATATTCCTGTCACGTGGATCTTAAATTGGCCGCGCATTTCATCGCTCTTCAGTCCACATATTTAGACTGAAGACTTCTTTTCCTACAATTGTGACTCTCCCTCATGCAAATGCATCCATTTACCGAGACGAGGCCAGATCAGCAGGGTTCATAAGAAAGAACTAAATCGCTGTCCTGGTGGGTAGTAGATAGGGAAGGATGAGGTAGAATGTTCTAATCCAGAGGACAAACTGTAACGACACGACACCACAAGTGGGACGCAGCGGGCGGCTGATAACATCGAGTGTGGGAAGTCGCAGAGAGGCCTCAAACAATGGCGTTGCGGAACGGCGGGAATCTCAACTGGCACAGTTACCACAGCGCTCATGTCGCACACGGCGAAGGCTGGAACTGAGAGGGAGGAAGTGACAGGAGGTTGGGGATACTTGCGCAGTGAGGAGTTTCATAACTTGCACGCTCCACGAAGTATTATTACGGTGATCGAATGCAGGAGGTTAATATGGGAAGAGCAGAAATTCAGGAGAGGAGAAATACACACAAAATTTCAGTTAGAAAGTCAGAAAGAAATATAACCAGGTGCATATGAGACGATTATATTGAAACAGATATTAAGGAAACAGGATGTGAGGTTTGGAGTGAATTCAGCTGACTCAGGACAGGCAAAATAGTCACACTTTATTAATATACGAGTACATTTGATGAAACGAGACATATACACATGATTACAGGCAGAAAGTCTGAGGGATGGAGACTTGAACGTGGCTGCAAAGATGAAATTGTGACATGTAGACCCACTGCCAAGTAACAGCTCCGTAAACAGACGACAGTACAATAGCCGTTGCTAGGGAACACCTCTATGGACACGTTGTTTCTTTGCGGTCCGAGCCGAGGCTATATAATGAACACCAGCTGCCATTACAGGAGAGTCTTGAGTTCGGTAATTAGAACAGTAAGAGGTTGGTGTGAGATGGCCGCCAGCCTGCGAGGACATGAGCCCGGGAGCAGAGGAACATCTACCGTTAGAAGCCGCTACCAAGCATTGTAAAGAAGCACACGACCCTTCCTGTCACCTGACCTCACTCTCACACCATATCTTTATGCGTATAAAGAACCTGCGGTGTTAAATAACAGAAGGTTAAATCAACATAGGACAGCGAATTGTTTTGAGTGGAAATGTAGACCGTAAAGGCGGCAGCCACAATATCACGCAGAACGTCAGTAGCTGTACGACGCATGTGGGGCCGTGAACGAGGTGTGTATCAAGTTACTGCTGGGATCTGGAAGTAGCAGCTTCGTCGCTTTCGCGTCCGAGGACGCCTGACTGAAGAATGACGGCGCAACTGGCCTGGCAGTGGTCGCTGGTTTGGGCGTAGTGGTGTGTGTTGGCCGTTTCGACGACGGAAACCCAGAGACAATGGGACCCTTTGCGCGGTTCCGCTCCACGATGGCGTTGAAACCGTTGACGGGATCGGAGAAGTAGCGCACTGTGCGCGTCCACCCGTCAGGCTCCAATATAACGTAGCTACCTTCCACGGTGTCGCCCTTCCGCGTCTCTTCCTGCGCCTTCGAGTCTCCCGTCTCGACGTCTGTCACGCGGTACGTGAATGAATACTGCGGGTTTGAATCGTAATCTGTGTTGGCTATGGAGGCTGTTCCCGCAGCCAGGGAGCCAGGAGACGCGAACAGTACGTCGCCATGGGCGCCTGCTGCAAGCAGGGAGATCAAGAACAGCAGCTGTAACACGCAACCCGAAATATTCACAGTATGGTAAAAGGTAAAGCTGTCCCTAAGTTCAACTAATTAAGCACTACGCCATGAAGACGTATGGGGGAGTGGTCAGCTTCACGCCCAGGCCGTTTTACACCCGGGGAAAGAGCCCTCGGTACTCCTTGTATAAGAGGTTGGGTGGGCCCCAGAGCTGGTATAGACGGCATGGAGAAAAGAAAGTTCTTGACCTTAACGGGACTCAAACTCTGACCCCTCGGTCGTCCAGCCAATATTCAGTCGCTATAGCGACTATGTATCACGGTTATTTACAGTACAATCAACAGAGCAATCATTATCTCATGTTACTGATTTAATACATGTTTTGGTGACATATTCAGGGTTGAAATTTCAAAATACTGAAGTGAGGTTTAGAGACCCTACCGTATAGCAGTCACTTGAAACATTTGTAATAAATATTGTCACATGTTAGGATTACGACTATAGACGGGGTATGGATTGGATATTGGGTTTATTGATACAACTCGGAACTACAGGTAATTATAGCGCTACCGCTGATCTACACATTACAGTTCACCGTTACACACAATATAGGCTTCGCAGTCTTCACTAGTCGTATCCTGGCAACGGATTTCAATATAGTAATTATACCAGTCTTAATGTAACTGCAGCAAACATGAAGTCTTCTTCTCACAGCCTAATTACCCTCAATCACGTGCCACTGCAGTCTCAAGAGACTCTCTCTATTGTTATTCTCAGCCGGCCTGGGAAACTCGTTATAGCCTCGCACGGACCGCACAGAAAACATCGCTTTCAATAGTTCTATTGTTTGGTGAAGTCGCTATCCGCGCGGAGAGCACAGAAAACACCGTTCCTCTGTTGCGTATGCAATCGTTGTTATGCTGATAAGCTGTCTACTGTACCATAACCTAGTAACGGCCGTTTCATCTGATTAAACCATTCCGGCTTTTAGCGAACATGCCTCAATAATATAAAGCGTAATCAGACACAAAAATTGTACTCAACACTGGAACCAACCTAGAAACTAGTGCTCGAAACAACACATTTCTCTGAAGCTATATAGTCTCTATACCGAAAGCGTCGTTAAATAATATAAAAAAATCCGCTTCGTTCTTCCATGGTTCTTAGAAGATCCCTAGCCAATGTGCTTAGGTTCTGATCATCTCACCTAAACCGACCTCAGCACACCGTCTTACAAAAGCGTCTAATTAACTTCATACAGAGTGATTCTACATTACTGTCGGGGTTTCCCTTTATACGCCATGGCAATCCCGACAATAATTTTGAACCACTCTGTATCATGACGGTCCACATAAACACACAAAAACAACAGAAAAATCACACGGTCAAATTGTCTACTGTTTAGAGTAACAAAATCATTCCCGGCAGATGTCAGCAGATGCGACTGCCTGCCTACCTGCATCGTGGTTTCGATCCTGCTGTCCCAGAGTCTCAAGTGTGGCTCCCTGTGCCACTCAGCTGTTTATATAGCGCTGTTCCACCAATATTCAGAAAATTCTTCATAACCCGTGGCGGATCGTGAACGAATGTAGGTTCCGCGCGTCACGCAGCGAGCTAGCCTCTAGCCATCAGGATCCGCCACAGGAAAAATACAGCGGCCTAGTTTACAGACGTTCATAAACGGACATCATAACCTTTACGGGACAATAGGAAGCAATATGGCGTCGGTCCACTGCGCAAATGTTTACTGCTGTGTCTAAGCTCCATGCAAACAGGCGTAAAAGAGCAGTGAACATACCTTTCATATATTCTTAATACTGACACTAGATGCAGATGAGTGATGAGAATAACGCTTCTACCGTTTTAACCCTGGATTAAATGGCCTCTTTACACGCTGGGCAGAGGCCGGTGGGGGGGCGTAGAACCGGAATATCACAGTATTTGTGTGAATAAAAGAACCCAAAACCGGAATTGAACCTTGGTTGCCACTCACAGAGCATGTCACGCCCACATATACTCCGTAATGTGATGCCGTGGGCCAGGACGCATCAACAGAACAGGGACAGGGCTGATAAGTGTAACTAATTTCAAGCAATAAAATTCACACAAGCATCACAACACACAGACAAGCAACATCAACTACCGACAGACAACACACGTCAACAACATCCCGAAGCAAAAAGATTGGGCCAAGCGGGAAAGAATTCTAGGGATTTTAAGAATTCTTACTTCAAATAACGAAACATAATTTTACAGAATTAACGACGAATCAAATAAGGAAGCTACTGTGGTGTGTGAAAAACTTTTAGTGAACCGACATTCTGGGTAATTTTAACTATTTGTAATTATTTTAATTAACTGGAACGTGGCTATCTTGGACAAAGTGAAGTTTTGTGTGTTGGTGATTTCTTTTTCTACTATAAATGCCTCTGATGATGGCTCCGTGGTGAGCCGAAACATGTAAGGCAGGTGCTGACGAGGTGGAAAACTTAAAAAAGTGTCACATTTGACGGAAGGAACTTGATTGTTAATTGGTTAGTGTGACGGACCAGAATGAAAGACCTTAAACTTAAAAAAAAAAGAATGAAAGACCTTAAAAATAAAATTCCTTTTGAATAATTGCTAATCACTCAGCTGGTCAAGAAAGACATAACCTTTTACAAACTCGAAGGTTCATTACATACCGTAGCAAATTCTTGCTTAAGTCAGAGGAGTTGAGTATCATTTCGTAATTTGTTGCATTTCTCTTTACGATGAGGCCTTCTTAGACCCCGCAAAAGCTCCCACATGGAGAACCACCCCTTGTTGGCTGTGTGCGACTAATAATTCAATATATTCGCAGCTGCCCTCCACATCTGGAGTCAGTGCCCTCCATCCACAACCTGAGGACACAGTTAACATGGGACTGATGGCACTGACCATGTGATTCCGCAGTATATATTTCATTACTGGCTGTCCAGATATGTACAGTGTCGATAGAAGAAAGTCCTTCAGAGAGAGTAACATTCACTGCCGTGTTCATTAGAGCCCACCACTGGACCCTGACCTCATGTAGATGACCTCAGTCCATACTTTCCGCCGTATCGCCTTTTACAAAATATATTTTAATACTATATTCGCATTTTGCCTAGGTCTTCAAACATATTTATTACCTTGATATTTCCCAACAGAAATTCTGCAAGCATTTTTGATCTCTCCAAACCGTACTATGTGCTATGATAAAAGAAATACAGAAAGAATATTCTCTCGTGGGGGAGAAACGTGCTGCCGCCAACTTCAGGGTAGAAGTCTCTTACGAAACGTGGGTAAATACCAGTCTATAAACCACAACAGTGACCACTGCGAAAATGTCTGGTCCCCTAACTTCGATACAAGACGAACAATTTCATTTCTGAATCCCCAGGGGTTTCAGGACGCTCCATGCTGGTGGGTGTGCACGTCCTGATTGTCCTGTGACGTGCGTTTGAGCCTGGAGGACCTGAGGAAGAAAAGTCGGCGTTTACTTAGCAACGAAGTGGTCCAATTAAATACGAATGACGATAAATTACGCTCTCCCATTGAAAATGTCAGAGGATCATGTCCTGGGGGCGGAATTACAACTTAAGGAAATTAGCAATGATAATATGAACTCAGTGAAAGGAATCGCTCGGCCTTGCGGACGGACAGACGCAACAGACGTATCGCTCCTCGAAACTGTCGTGGCGTACATCGTCGGAAACGGTGTCACGGCGTCTGTGATGCTACTGGACCAGCTTCTTGCCGATAACCAGTGGAATGTGCTGGGGGATGCTGTTAGCAGCCGCTACTCGGAGTCAAACCGGGCAGAGTACCACGGCAGCCCTATGCACCAGACTGACATATTGGATCCGTGACAAATACACCAACTAACTTCACGGAGATGCTCCGTCTTGAGAAGCTGACAGTCGGTCAGGTATATTCCACCCTGTCTTCTACAGATCCAGTCTTCATAGAAGTCCGCCACGGTCCCCCGCCATGAGTTAAATTAATCTAGTCGACAAACATTTACATTATTTCTGTAAGATTAATTTTAGTATTATCTTCCCATTTATGCCCAGGTCTTCCAAAAGGTCTCTTCCTTTAAAATTTTTGGGAACAAAATCTTGCGCTAATTTTTCATCTCTACATGCCCCGCCCATCTTATCCAATTAGATTCGATCATTCATTCATTCATTCATTCATTTATTCACCAATGGCTCTACAGCCCTTTATTGGGCCCTGGCCTCTTCTTCAGTTTCGTAATCTTTCTTACACAGACGGTAGGACCCCTTTGACGAGCGGCTAGGTTCGGTCACCCTGGTGAAGTCTAGTGAAGAGTACAAATTATGAAGCTTCACTGTGAAATTAGCCACATTCTATTTCGAAATACATAGTTTCTGTATTTCATTACGTAAAGGAAGAAATTGGCTAAGGGCTAGGTGACAGAGAGGTTGAAATTCGAGTCTCGGTATGGGCAAGAATTTTCTCTTCTCTACAGCGTCCACACAAGTTATGGGGCCCACCCAGCCACCCATCAAATGGGTACCGGGGGCTCTTTCTCCGGGGATAAAGCAGCTGGTGCTTAAAGTTGACCACTCAACTCCAACGAGTACCCAGGTTAAGAAAACATCCACTCCCCCATACGCCTTCATAGCGCAGTGCTTAATTAGTGAAGCACAGGGGACAAAATTACATTCAAAGAATGCGAGAAAGAGGAAAGCACAAAACTGCTACCACCTCCCACAGTTTGGGGATTTCCTGAACATGTCTTACGTGATGTCTTTGTGTTTGTTCTGCAAAACAATGAGCGGGAATGAAGCCAGCAAAGCAACACAATGTTAGGTTGAAGTGTGTCCCTGTTGTTACCACTTCAGTCTGATTTTGAAAAAGAGACGGACGTAGAAAATTACCACCGTGCTTTAAGCGATCAGATTTACGTAATTACAAGCCTATAATCCGACACTGGAACACAATTCACCTCATATACTAACGTGCGGGACTCGTATGTACATTACCACAGGATCGAATCCTACTCAAGTCAGCAATATTTTAATATTTGCAACAGGCACTTCCATTCTCTTCGCACATCGCGCTCACCATGCGCATATGTCCGTCCCAACTTGTCGAAGACTACGCACTACAAAGCGTCCACGTGGAAGGATAATTATGAATGATTTGGAAAGGATGTGAAACGAGGGAATTTTGCCCTAAATCGAATTAGTACCAAACATTTGATAAGCTAACAGTGGTTCATGTATTCAAGATATCACCCCCTCCCGGGATGGGGGGTGGTCTGTTAACAATGTGCAACTTCTTCAATGGAATTCATATGTAAACTATTCAAACGTCCTTCCGTCCGTGTGGTAAGGTAAAAGTAAAGCTAACCCTGTAACAGGCCGTGGGGGCCCATAGGGTTGTGAGATGTTGAGGTTCCCACATTTTCCAGACCGGTGAGGTTGCCAGCCTTACGCGCCGGCCGCCCTTTACCCCCAAGGACATTCCTGGTACTCATTTCTGTTAAGGCGTTGAGTCGACCCCAGGACCATAGTGCGGCTGGAAGGTTTAGGTAAATTGAATAATCCAATGGCCTCATCGGGAACGGAACCCGCGACATTCCGGCTTATAGCATGGTGCTACCACCTGTCCCGTCCGTCCGTCCGTCTCACCCTATTTCTCCCAAACGAAGCAACGCAGAAAGATGGTAGAAACATGAGATATGACAACCCAGAGGGAAATATTAATTTCGTTCTTGCATGCATGGGTTCGACTCAAAGTCTGTTTCCATCCTGCATAAGAAGAAGACTGGGACCGTGACGGCGCTCATATGTTTTACTGTAACCATGGCAACGAAAATGTGCTTACACTAGATTATAACGTGAGGTGTTTTCAGGTTTATTTATTTTAAGACAACTTAACAGTACAGTTACAAAGAGTGTACTACACGTTTCGTGAGCACGAGAAGTTTACTTTGAGCACACAGAGTGAGCACGCTCTAGTAAGCGTAGCTAGCGTACGGCCGGTGTATGTGGTGTGCACAGCATTTGATTACAGAAGCGCGCTCCTCAAGTAAGCGTAGGTAGCGTAAGGCCCGGTGTATGTGGTGTGCACGGCATTTCATTACAGAAGCACGCTCTTCTAGTAAGCGTAGCTAGCGTAAGGCCCGCTGTATGTGGTGTGCACAGCATTGCCGATGTAGCCCGCAGCGTAACTCAGAGAGGGGGCGGCAATTGCAGCCTTAGCAATTGGAGCGGCAGCGATGGGGGCGGCGTAACTAAGAGCGGGGGCCGCAATTGCAGCCCTAGGGATGGGCGCGGCGTAGCTGAGAGCGGGGGCAGCAAATGCAGCCCTAGCGATTGGGGCGGCGTAGCTGAGAGCGGGTGCGGCAATGGCAGCCCTGGCGATGGGGGCGGCGTAGCTGATAGCGGGTGCGGCAATGGCAGCCCTGGCGATGGGGGCGGCGTAGCTCAAAGCTGGGGCGGCAGCTGCGTAACGAGCGATGGGTGCAGCAACACTCAACGGAGCTGCAACTCGCGCCAATGGGGCGGCGACCTTTGCGACAGGGGCTGCGACCACGGCGGGTTCACGGTGCACGACGGCGTTGAATCCGTTGACGGGGTCAGCGGTGTACTCGACGATACGACGGGTGCCGTCAGGCTCCACCAGGTTGTAGCTGCCCTGGACGACGTCTCCGTTGCGGGTCTCCTGCTGTCCCTTGGAGTCTCCGGTCAGAGCGTCCTGGATGTCGTAAGCGTAGCTGTACTGGGGGTTGGGGTCGTAGTCGGTGTCGACAGCCACGGGGGCGGCTACCTTTGCGACCGCTGGAGCGGCGTAGGCAAGGGGAGCGGCGACCCTGGCGACTGCAGGGCTGGCAAGTGCTCCAGCGAAGGGGACTCCAGGGGCCAAAAGAGCGGGGGCGCCCACGATTCCGCCCCTAGCGACGGTCACTACGGCAGCAAGGACGATGAGCTAAAAATGAACGCAGTTATAGACCGTTATCAGTTGTCCAGGGCGCAAGCGAAGAATAGGGGAAGTCCCTCCTGACATGAGTTCGTACTGCACGCCTGTCTGTATGTTGCTGTTGCACGAAATGCTACTCAGGTGGGGACTGGGAGAGCGGACGCCGCTTCAGTCCCCTGCTCGCCCATGGGACCTCTGAATGATGCACGTATGCATGCACAGGCATCACCGTGTTCTGTCTCCCGACCCACGTGGCCCATGAACCGCGAAACAAAACACTTCTATACTAAAGCATCTTCTTTTGATATCAACAGAACTAGAGACGAAACGTCGAGGGAGAAAGGGGGAAGCACACTGCTTTGTATTCAGAAGGCACGGGTTTAAATCTTGGCCAGAAGATCGGATAATACAATAAAACTGGTCACGACCACTTCCTTCCACATCCATTCCACTTCATTACTCCCTGATAACCTCATCATTCGCCGCTATACAGTCTGAGCTACTGACAGCGTCGTTAAATAAACTATAAACTCCGTTGCCTGTAGTCTGCAAGCGACCGAGCGACCGCCGCTTGTCGGCGAAGTTAGTATCTACTTTAGCGGATAGAGGGTGTCGCGTGGTCAGCGAAATGAATCTCCACGGCCGTTAATTACGGTTTTCTAGATCGAAGCCGATATTTCCTTGAAATACCTCCTCAATTATCCCCCCGAGGCTGAGTGAACCCTGTCCCAGGCCGCTATTATTTAGAAAATCTAGTAGCGCCGGGAATCGAACCCGGGACCTCTGGATCTGTAGCCAGGAACTCTGACCGCTAGACCACAGAGGCTGTCCGTTAAATAAACTATACACAAAATGAAGTCGCCGCTAGTGACAACTACACGTTGTAGGATATCAGCTCTCACAGCGGTGGGATATAACGCCCTGCTTTGCTTGCTTGGCTAGCTCTTCAACCCTCATGATGGAGGCGACATGTTTCTCCGAAACGAAGACAGAATTCTTCAGAACTACACTTGCATACAGCGGTCATCTGCCCGCGGACCCTCACGCAGTGTCCGGCAGGCAAATGTTTCGATCATTAGCAGCAGCAAATATCGGTTATCGCCAGGGAAGAAAGAATCTTCCATTGAAAAAAAAAAAGGACTAAGCTCTACAGAACTGACCCCAATTCCAGTATTACAACCAATGCTGAGTCAAAATGTAACACACTTTAGACTAACTGTACCTAATTCATTGAGACCCATTTTAATAGCATCCCCCTTCTAGATAATCCAAGTGGTAATTTTCAACCGAACTTATGGTCAAAATTGTGTATATATTTTTTGTTTCCCCACCCACCCCACATGTTCATTGTATCGTAGCAGAAATCACAACGAAAACAAATGGCACAACACAGTACTAACTCGCTAGCCAGCTGACCGAATAAAAAACAAACAAACCACTAATTAATTCACTCGATGGAGCACAGATAACCTTGAGAAGCCAACAGTTGCGAAGTTTCATTACCAAGTTCACAGAGGACCATAGGATTCTGCTCTGAATAAAGAAGAGTTCAGTAAATGCTACATTCATAGTCTTTACCGGAATTTATCGGTCAGATGTGATTTCTGTGGACAGCGTGGAAGCATTCATGCACCTGTAGACACAAGACACCCATTCACAAGTTATTCAACTGACCAAGATATCCACACATTCCGTGGCCTGTAGTCCGCAAGCGAACTATACCGACCGAGCGACCGCCGCTTGTCGGCGAAGTTAGTGCCAACTTTAGCGGATAGAGGATGTCGCGTGGTCAGCGCAACTGATCCCCATGGCCGTTAATTCCGGTTTTCTAGACCGGAGCCGCTATTTCCTTGGAATAGCTCCTCGATTACCGTATTTACGCATGTATAGGCCGCGTGCGTGTATAGGCCGCAGCACAATTTTCAGACAGAAATTATAGAAAAAATAATTTTCTTGGAATATTATTTCAGGAGTAGAACACTCTTTATTACTAATTATGAATATATTTTTTTTTAATGAAGTGTGATTTCGAATATTTCGAATATAAGCCGCACCCCAGTTTTCCTCTTGAATTTTTGGCAAAAAATGTGCGGCCTATACATGCGTAAATACGGTATCCTCACGAGGCTGAACGAACCCCGTTCCAGACCCACTACTTCTCAGAAAATCTGGTAGCACTGGGAATCGAACCCAGGACCTCTGGATCTGTAGGCAGGAACTCTGACCACTAGATCACAGAGGCGGAACCGGAACGTTCATAACCGTATTCACAAAAATCTGTCAATCGTGACTATTACTTACTCATGGAGCTGAGCCCTTCTGGAGGAGCTGCCAATTCTGCAGCTACTCAAGAATTTCCCAGCATTTTATGGAACCAGAAGGTTCATTACCGTGTTCACAAGAGCCATCCACTGGTTCCTATCCTGAGCCAGATCTATCCAACCCATACCATCATATCCTATCTCTCTAAGATCCATTCTAATATTGTCCACCCACCTACGCCTTGGTCTTCTTTATGGTCTCTTTCCTTCTGGCTTTCCCACCAATATCCTATACGCATTCCTCGTCTTCCCCCTTCGCGCTATATGACCTGCCCACTTCATCCTCCTTAACTTGATCATTCTAATTATATATGGAGAAGAGTACAAGTTATGAAGCTCCTCATTATGCAGTTTTCTCCAACCTCCTGTCACTTCATCTGTCTTCGGTCCAAATATTCTCAACACCCTGTTCTCAAGCACCCTCAGTCTATGTTCCTCCCTTAATGTCAGAGACCACAATGGTGAGTATAATTGACATTTGTTTTACTGCTAAGTACGAAGGGCAATGTTAGCTTATGTTAAAGTGTAAATACATATGCATATGTTTCTGTCTCTCTCTAACGATAATTACAGCCTTAAGACTAAGTACGTTACCTATGCCTTAACGTAACATCTCATTCCTACAAAGATCGTTAGTCAACTTATGGCCTTAGTAATTATTTCTAAATTCATTCCTCCTTATCGATTAGCACAGAATTAAACCAGTTCACACTTCCACAAACTAATTACTTAAACATATCTCAATATCTTAACTGCGTCTTTTGTCAGATCTCTCAAGTGGTCATTTCTCTCGACACTTTCAGTCTGCACTTACCGAGTATGCCATGTTGCCGGTACAGTGTGAGTATGTGTCCAGGGGGGGCCGCGTCGGCTTATATACGCAGCGAAATTCGGGTGTCGCGCGCCCTGACCAGCTAGAGGCGTGACACCGGAGCCAGGAAGCCAGAAGTGGGTCAGCCCAGCTGGCCGGCCGTTGGGAAATGCAAACGGGTTCTGCCACTGGTGCGGCAGCCCTACGCTTCGAAATGACGAGCAAGGCGCGGCTCTTGGCAAATCGCTGAGTGGAGACCCTTGTTTGTCGCTTAGCGACAAACAGATATGGATCATGTCTTTGTTAGTTGCTTCGCGAGGTTGTCAGTATCGAGTCTACAGCGTAGAACAATAACTACAGTCGTTAAATCGCAGAAGATTTGGGTGCAAGCGGCTGTAGCGATTGAGGTAAACCACGAACATCTCATCGTGACATTGCTGCGTTTAAGCTGAATTGCTTGGTCTAGGAGATAACTGGCTCCATACTTTCGTATGACACCGTGCAGCCTAGTAGGTGAGCACTAAAGAATGCATATGTCTTCCATCTTCAGGGTTGGAATGTCAGTACTGATCAGCCATACAACACCCACCATAACCTAGAAGATTACAATGTGAAATTTTAACGCTGTGAATACCTCGGCGCTTAGGAGCATATAAATTGCAGGGATTTGGAACCAAATCGTTCGGGGAAATATTTGGACCTACGAAGGAAGAAGAGAGTATTGTAGGATATAACGGGGAAAATACTCATTTATACTGGCCACCTGATGTTGTCAGGGTAGCGAAACATGAAGCTATGATTGGGTGGATAAGGTGCAACCATGACAGAGGAGACAACCGACGTACGCAGTATAAGTACATATTGAACTTGGGTGGGGAAGGGGCATACCAAGTGAATGCTTGGAAGACTGGTCTAGAGATTATGTAAAATTTGTTTTTATTGATGTTGAAACTTCGGGTTCTGCTACCAGAGTTAGTTAATTGGTGAGATGGATCTTAGGGAAACAGGCTGCGAGGATGGGAGGTGGATGGAACTGGCTCAGGATCGTGTCCAGTGGCGGGCTTTGGTATTAGCGGTGCTGAACCTTCGGGTTCTGCTATGAGTCAGTTAATTAGTAAGATGGATCTTAGGGAAATGGGTTGTGAGGATGGGAGGTGGATGGAACTGGCTAAGGATCGTATCCAAAGGAGGCAGGGTTTGGTATTAGCGGTGTTGGAGCTTAGGCCTATTCTATCGGCGAGTTAATATTGTTGGGGATCATCAATGCGGGATATGGCGTAATAGTGAAACTATTAATCGGATTTTCTATATTCTTCAGATACTGCAGAGAGCATGGCGGGTACAGTGGACAGGTAAACCAGATACTGCAGAGAGCATGGTTGGTACAGTGGACAGGTACACCAGATACTGCAGAGAGCATGGCGGGTACAGTGGACAGGTACACCAGATATTGCAGAGAGCATAGCGGGTACAGTAGACAGGTACACCACATACTTATAACTTCAAGAGGGTTTATAATTTGTTTATGAGGGAAGAAAAGTACATTACATGGTCTCTGCTTATAAAGCTCTGCGTCCGGCCTGCCTCTTACTGGTTATTTTCTTCACTCTGCTCTTCCACCATGAAAATGGAGGGACTACGTTTCTTTGAAATGACGGTAATCTTGAACCCGCCTACACAGCGTCATGTGCTGGAAGATAATTCTCACCGTTGTGTGAACATTAAGACAAAGTAAAGCTATCCTTGTAACAGGCTGTGGAGGCCCATAGGGTTGTGTGACGTCGAGGCTCACTGATGGTGGTGAGGTTGTCAGCTTTACGCGTCGCCCGCCCTTTACCCCCAGGCAGATCCCTTGTCCTCATTTCTGTTAGAGGCTGAGTCGACCCCAGGGCCATAGTGCGGCTGGAAGGATTAGGTAAATTGAAAAGAATCTAATGACCTCGTCGTGAATCGAACCCGCGACGAAATTGCCGCAACCAATTATGTTATCGCGTGCCCCACATTAAGACCAACACAAATCCAACCTACTTGTATAGAAAGTTCGTACAGGTAACGTCTGACGCATTTACTACCGAGGACTGTCTGAGTCAAGGTCATGGCTTTATTACAGAAATGTTTAATTTTCTGAATACTCCATTACGAAGGCTCCAGAGGACCAGGAGAGACTGGAACTGAACGGGACACACCAGCTTCTGGACTATGCAGATTATACTAACACAGATACCGACAGAGGCTCTACGGCTGCTGGTTAGATGTCGCTTTGGAAGTTAACGCAGTGAGACCTATGTATATGATGTAAGATTGAGGTTTGTAAGATTTGAGATTTTCACGGCAATGACTATGAAGAAAGCCATCTTTTGGGATGTAGCGCCGTGTAGATATTGTGTTAACCGACGTTTCGGAGGATCGTATCACCTTCATCTTCAGGGTAGAAGAAAAAAGAAGAAAATCCGCGAGTGAGAAACCAGCGTAAGCAGGTGCTGCAGCCTAATGTAGAGTCGAATATTTATATGACGATCTTTTATCATCAGAATGCAATCTGGTTTGTATAGCCAATAAATCCTTAAAAAAGAAGGGAATTGAACGATCTGGGAGCAACAGTAACAAATCAAAATTGCATTCAATCAGAAAAGACCTTACTGAGGCCACGTTCACGAGGGGAATTTGCCCATTATCTTCCTTTTCTCTCTATATATATGGTTCTAGACCTTTTTCTGGGCCTTGACAAATTTTTCAGTTTCGGAAACCTATATACAGTTGGTAGGACTCCTTGGACAAGGGATCAGCCAGTCGCAAGACCGCTACCTACACACAGAATAAACGCACACAGACATTCATGCTTCGAGTGGGATTCGAACCCATGATTCCAGCGTTCGAACGGGAGAAGACGGGTCATGCCTTAGACCGCGCGGCCACTCTGATCGGCGCCCAATGCCTTAGACACGGATTATAACTCCTTAAATGTGTTATGCAATTATCATTTTAAATAGGAAACTTCTTCAGAATCCTCCTGACTTGGCGAGCGGGTAGACATAGGCTAACTGCAACAGACCTGCAGAACTTGCCTGACAGCAGTCAAGAAAGAGTTCAATACGAACTTGTAAACACGTGGAATACAAGTCGCTGGCCCTTTCACTTCTCGGTCATCATAACCTGGGCCCAAGAGCAGGCGTGTTTACCTGACTAATTGGCTGTAAAATCAACCGAGACAGTCCTTTAAATCGGGCATGTCAAACTCAACTTGTACAGAGGGCCACCTCAGCCCTATAAATAACAGTCCAGGGCCGCACTTCAAAATAGAAATATGCATTAGATTTTGATACAAGGAAATTTAATTCTATTTATTATTTAGGAATAATTTAAATATAATTACCTAAAGTCACATATCTCACAGTTTTAAAAAGCAAGAGAATGCAATTTTTGACAAGTATCAAACAGCTTTACAATATGTAAAAAGAGAGATTACACAAGAAATTATGTTAGAAATATCAAAACATTTAATTTCCTGCAGCCTGCTAATTTATGTCTGCGTGAGACTTCTTGTCTCCTGGTCTGTTGGAAAATTGTCTTTACAAAAAATATTTCTATTAACATTTTAATATTGATTATATCAATTAGCTGTAAAAGTCGAGGGGCCGCATTTTACGGCTATGGGGGCCGCACGGGCCCCATGTTTGCCGCGGCTGCTTTAAATGTTTCATTACCGGTCGTGGCCAATGCCAGTGATCTGCTCCAGGATTTGAAATATTAGCCAATGCACAATGTTAATGTACGTAAATGCGAAACGCGTCATAAGCCGTTCGCCCGGTGCTATGAACTGGAGACTGGCACGAACCTACAGAGGTCTCGGGTTTTCACGGCGGTTAATGCTATGACGCCGTTTAGTTCGATAGGTATCAACGTTTCGAAGGAACTACTGCCTCTTTTTTCATGGCAGATGGGTGGATCTCTTATCATTAAGACGGAGATAGGTAACATCGAAATGTTGACACATAATCTACCAAATCATACGGTATCACATCCAAGCAAGACCGTAATCGTACCTATTTGATTACCATTAATATCATGTTCAATAGCACACCACTTAATCATACGTTACGTATAATAATATCCCCCCCCTTGATACCACAGCCCCAGTGGGCCTAGGCCTACCTCCTTGAACTTACATATAACAATATACATAATTCAATTCAATTCAATTCATGTTTATTTACGTGCAATAACTTAACAGCACAGTGGCCAATAACAAAGTTAGCACGTGTATATAAAGATACAGAAAAATAATTAAACACAATACAAATATGACAGATATAAAGCAGTGAGCATAAATCTAAAGAAGACTTAAATACATACTACTCCGTCCAAAAAGTATCCGACCTTGGGCCGGGAAAACAAAGTTCTGTATCTGGGTGGTTACAATACTCTAATCGTCTACAAAGTAGGCCCCTTGTGACTCCACACACTTAGCCCAGCGGTCCTTCCATAGCTGGAAGCAATTCCGGAAGGCTTCTTTTGGAATGGTGTGCAGCTGCGCCGTCGCGTTCTGTATGATGTCCTCGCGGCTGTCAAAACGGCGGCCTTTAGCGGTGTCTTCAATCTCGGGAACAGCCAGAAATCACAAGGAGCCATGTCAGGAGAGTGGGGAGCCTGGCGAACCTGCGGAATGCCGTGCTTGGCCAGGAAACCCTGGATCAGGTGCGATGAATGAGCTGGGGCATTGTCATGATGCAGCTGCTAGTTGCGTGCGTCCCACAGCTCCGGTCTCTTGCGCCGAACTGCATCACGAAGATGGCGGAGGACTTCTTGGTAGTACTCCTTATTGACAGTCTGGCCTAGTGGTGCGTACTCGTGATGCAAAACACTCCGGTAATCGAAAAACAGTCAGTATCACCTTCACATTCCTCCAAACCTGTCGTGCTCTTTTGGGCCTCGGGGATGTTGGATGCTTCCATTGTGACGCCTGGACCTTGGTTTCCGGGTCATATCCGTACACCCACGACTCGTCACCAGTGATCACAGTCCTCAGGAACTCAG